CCAATAAGAACAGGTCTGACTACTCTTCCCTACCTCGGTAATAGCAAAGAACAAAACATTGTCCAAGCATGGACTAAAGGCTTATGTTAACAAGGTCAGTCTGTTTGGGCCAGCCAAGGGGAAGGGAGCAGCAGACATTCTGTGCAGTCCATGTCCATGAGGAAGAAAGGCCGGGGTCAGTCTACTGAGGCCTGGGTGGGTTGGGGCCTGGAACCCTTCTCTTTGAAGGCCTTCTGGGTCGCCGTCCCCAGGGCATGTAGGGACCACGGGGAAGATAACGTGGAAAACCTCTGTGGACCACAGGGGCCGGCTGCTGGTAACAGGGTGTGGGGAAGTAGGGCATGTGGGGCTGGGGACCCCAACTAAAGTCGGGTTCAAAGGAAAATCCCGTCTGGGTAGATGAGGGGACGTCAGAATGGAAATAGAACTGATCAGACTGGAAAGTATGGTCGGAGGAAAAATAGGTATCTTGGGGACAGAATGGGATCTGGGGCATCCCCGGGTGAGGGGTAATGGGAGGAAGCTGTGGGGGCAGAAGCGGGATCAGGGGCGGGGGCCCGAGTAGGGAGTGGGGTCTGCCAGTACAGGCAGATGGGGACATTAAGGACCTGCGATTTCTGTTGGGCCGGGAGGACAATTCGACACTCTTCACAGGCTGCTTGATCCACCTGCCCACGGGGTAGCGGGGCAGCTCCACACCCCAGGCATCGGCCATGTGGGCCAGCAGCAGCTGGGACAGCTCGCGGTGCACATACTGGCTCCAGTGCACCCCGTCCGTCCACCGGTGCTGCCACGCATGCCGGAAGTGGAAGTGCAAGTCCAGCACGTCCAGGTTGTGCCTCCTGGCCTCCACGAAGCTGTGGAAGTTGGCTTCGACCACGTCGAATTTCAGGGAGGTGTTGTAGGGGAGGGCCTCGGGCTCAGGCGGAAGGAAGGGTGCAGTGGTCCTCTCCCCTACCGGCATGGTCGTGTTCCACAGCAGGAGGCAAGATTCGGGCAGCACCTGGCGCAGGCGCTGGAACAGGTGGTCGAGGTTCTCCAGGTAGTGACTCCAAGAGTCGTGACCGTACCTGGAGATGTCCCAGAGGCAGGAGTTCATGATGAGCACGTCGGGGACGTGCTCGCCTGACTGCAGCTCTTCCAGGATGCTCTCAAGGTACTCTGAGTACACGCGCGTGAGGAAGTAGAAACGCACCAGGTGGTGGTCAGAGCAGTACTGGCGGACCTCACGGTAGGTTACGCCGTTGTGCATAAGACCCCGCTGGCCCCCCTCCATCAGCTCATCCTGTTCAAAGCTCATCTCCCCCTTCGCCTTGAGCTGGCTGCGGGTGAGCAGGCAGTCCTTCTGCAGCAGGAGCACCAGGTCCTTGTACACCGACCTCTGCACCGAGTCCCCCAGGACGACCACGAATTTGTTGTGGAGCAGCTGCTGGACCTCAGAGGACTTTAGGTGGACAGTGACATCCATGGCGCACGGCCAACCTCCTCACTTTGCAAGGGGTGGGTCTGTGGATTGCTAGGACAGAAGGAGAGAGAGGATGGGAGGAACTTGCCCCTGGGTGGGGTGCCAGGTGGAAGAAAGCACAGGGAGCTGTGGCCTGTCTTTAGAGAGTGGACCCAGAGTGCCTGCAGGCAGGCTTCACCGATCCGGAGTAGGGTGAGGGGGCTGGAAGTCAGCCCCAGCAGCCTCTCAGGGAGGCTCAGGCTTCACCGGGTTGTGTGAAACAATACCACCCACCTCCCTG